ACCATGTCGACCAATCAAAAAATGATATGGCAACATGACATTTAGTGGTTTAGGGAGGGGGAAGTTTTAGGAGTGACGGCGGTGTTTGAGATGCGATTGCCAAGTTTAGCACAAATCTTGTGTAGTGAGTGTGTAGTGAGTGTGTAGTTAGTGTGTAGTGTAGTCAGTAGTTTTGTTGTGTGTGTCAGAACAATGGTTTACAGGTGTTACAGCAGTGATACATCTGCTGCTGTCAGGCCTGCAGGTATCAGGCTGATGTTCTCCTTCATCTCATAGTGGACAGGAATGATTTTTTGGAGCGGCACAAATAATTTGTGTGGCATCAGATTTGATGCAGAACAGCTGATTGTTCTGTAAATAGTTTGAAATGTTTATTTAAAAAACACTTTGGCTGCATTTTCAGGTAAACAGCTGCAAAAAAACTCTGTTTGCATAACTCAGTTACTTATTTGAAGAAGTAAGTATATAATTAATTACCCAGCTTTGGTCATTATTTACTGTACTTGCAGACAGAGTTACAGACTCTCTCCCAGACCACAGACTCATAATACAAGTCAGAGCAAAAAAATAAATAAATAAAAATAAAAAAGAAAATGTTTTTAAAATTGGAGTTCAAGTTATTTCTACTTCCAATAGTGTTAACATGCTACAGGTCACGAAATAGATTTGTTTAAATTTTCATTGTAAGTGGACTAAAGCAGTTAATTAAAAGTAGTCTAACATAAATGCTGTAATTTGATTACTTTAATAAACATGTAACTTGGATGCTGGCGTGACCACAGTGCACACGTCTGCAGTTGCTCACAGTGCGACGCTCAGGGAGTTTGTGTGTTCAGACACGTGAAACATTAGAGGGAACATTGACAATATGTGTTATTGCAACACGGTCTAGAGTTACAAGCAACCAGAGGACTTTCCATGTTAAACTACTGAAACCAGCACGCAGCTTTTACTCATAAAGACACACGACCGCCAGCAGCATCGGCGCGCCATCCTTACCTTGCAGTATGATGGAAGTGTGATGTTGAGATTGCATATAGCATTTTGTGCAAGTGACCTGTAGTTCCTGGGTTCTTTCATAAATGACAAGCGGCCACACGGCTCCTGAGTGTTGTCTCTGATCTGCCAAAGCCAAGCGGGTCAACGTTAGCCAGCTGCTCATTGCTAAACCGATTCCATGTTATACGAAGAACATTGGCTGACACTTGCAGCACTTGCTCAGAAGAAATAAACGATGACTCACTTTGATGAAGAGTGCTAACCGGTTCTCCTTAAAGGCGTAAAAGCTGAAGAGGTGATGTTGGCCGCTTTTCGTGAGGGGAACAAGGTTACCAAAGCAGTCTGCATAGATAGGTTTGCCTTCCAGGACCTAGTAAAGGTAACACATGCATACATGATGGAATAATCACGCCTGACATCTTACATGTTTACATCCTTCTTTAGATATTTCTTCTTCTTAGACTGGAGTCGACCGCTCAAAGGTTTTTTATTTTATTGGGGTGTCATTCCCGAACTCTGTCTTGTATAACTTGGTGTTAGACTCCCTCCGCTCTCCTTTCTCACCTCTACATCTCGGCTGCGCGCCACCTCGGCGAAGTTCTCCTGCTGTTCCAGTGTTTTATCAATCTTGTCATCAGTCATGCAAAAGCAGCGCAATCGGGCCTCAATCGGGTCGTGGGTCTTGGCGAAGATGACGAACTTGGCCATGTAAGGGACACAGATGATTTCCCGATACACCTGAGTGGAGAAGTTGACCGATTCCTGGACTTGCCGACAGTCTATGAGCCAGAACCTAGAAATCAGAAGAGGGTTAGGAGTTAGGAGCGAGCTGGTGTCTGTGGCTGATATTTGGTTCAGCTGGTTTACCTGGCAGACACGTTGGTGGTAAAGGACACGCAGTCATTAATAAAAGTTAACGGAGTAGTTCCTGTTATATCCTCCCACTGGGCTGGCGTTGTTCCACCTGCGTGACATGAAATGTTAGAATGTGGAGACGCGTCTCAGCTTCACCCGTTAAGATTTGAACTTTTCTACGGCTTCTCTAACCCGTGATGCTACAAAGCAATCGTAGGGTGGGTGTGTCCCCTCCAAAGCCGTTGAGGACGGGGTCGGAGTTGCTCTTGGGGACAGGGATTGTCATGGTGATGGGTTTATGAAATTTCCTCCTGCGCGGCTCCAGAGTGACAATGGGACTGAAGCTGGCCTTGTTCCCCAGGAGCTTCCTCACGACATCTATGCTCACTGGCTGGGCCTGCGAGACAAGAGGAAAGCCTGGCTGTGAGGCAACTGTACGCAGACAGCACATGTGCTTTATCCACCTCTTTTGAGTCCATTTAGTAAAGACATCGACATGAATCACAGCAACTTAAGAAGGTTGAGTCTGTTTTGTTTCCATGGTTTAAAACTAAAGCTCTGAATATTAAGAACAACATAATGACAGCAAAACAGAGAACATATAAAAGCTAACCACACTCTGTTTACCTGCAGTCCAACCCTGATCCTCTTGGTCAGCGCCCCCTCAGGAAAAACTGCCTGAACTTGTGGTACAACGGTGCTGCTGAGGATGCCTCCTTCAGGACCGATCAGATTGCTGTCTTGCTTGATGCGTGACACCACAGCAAAGTATTGTGGGAAATCTCTAGTGATGATACGGCAAATGCGTTTCCTCTCCAGCTCTTCGGGAGTTTCCAGTTCTGCAGAAGGTGAGACAGAAAAGACGTGATCAGGCCTTTATCGTTTGACGCCGCGGTGTCGTCAGCCAGTGTCGGAGACTGACCCTCGTCCATGCCGTTGAGTATCTGGTTGAGCTCCTCTTGAGTGTGTTCACAGTGATGCTCCTTCCAGCTCTCTCCTGTTTCGCTCCTCAGAATCACCAGCTCGCGCTCCTTCCCTCGGAGGGCAGCGAAGTGAGGGATCTCCACAATGACAGGACTGGAGGAACAAGATACGCTGGGTAAGTCCAAGTAAAACTAAGCGCGTGGTGTGATGGAATATAACGGGTAAGAGTGCATTTGTGCATGTAGTGAGGTAAGTCTCCTGTTCTTTGACTGTTCATCTTTGTATCTGGATACGAGCCCGACTGTACCTGTGCAGACACAGAGGGTGCATCGCTCCTCTTGCTCTGGCTTCACTGCTATGTAAATTACAGTTTATTTTTTCTGCAGCTGATGTGTTGACACGTGGTGATAAAGAGCATCTCAGATAAACATGTAGAGCTGTGCTGGATAAAAGCATCTGCACCAGCAAATCTCAGGTGGATTCACTTGAATCACAACATTCAAGTTGATTTATGATCAGTGTGTCGTCCATTTGTAATAGTTAGAAAACGTCACTCTGACACTTACCTGATGAGCACAATCACCAACTAGTTACAACGAGTATCTACAAGAAGCGTCCTGCAGGCCAACATCGGGACAAACACATATTTCTATGTGATATTTATATGGTTACCTGGCCTGTAGTATTTGTTTATGTTTCACTCTAAATACTGTTGATGTTATTTACTTTGACCACTCAGGCAGGAGAAACACATCAATTTAAAATATAGTGAAAAGGCCAAATATTGCCTGGTGACATCATGTGATTTCTTATAAACTCTAAATAAAAACCATACAGAGCCGATCACTGACGCGTGCACTCATATTCTCCTGCTTCCCTTCGACTTACAGGCCACACAACCATTTAAATTTCACACATAAGTGAGAGACAAATCTTCCCCCGAGAATGAGAAGAAAGAAAAAGGGAAACGGCAAAGCAGGAAGGAGAGAAGTGACAAGCAGTGGCTGTTAGCACGGACACTAAATGAAGTGGATTATGCAGCATTAGCACAAACACGACAGCACAGTAACAAAGAAACTGGCATCCATGGATTGTTTCATATGCAAAACCACAGACTGGTTTCCACCCTACCCAAGAAATCTGGTCCCCGGTGGACCAAGCTGGAGGATTCGGGTAACCAAACTCTCTCCCTCATTTAGAGGTGGGGGGGCACTGGGGAGGTGGAGTTTACTGTGATTGACCGAGCGTCCGTATGCAGCAGTGAGGAAGAAAGAGCACACACAATGTTTGGGTTGAGCGCCGATTTTCTCTTAGCTGCACAGTCAGGACGTCCAATAGAGCATCACGAAGAAATGACAAATAAAAACATACAACATTTACCCCAAAGCTGCGCTTATATTTATACTCAAGTCCTTCTTTTCATAATAAAGAAGACTGACTTTGTAGTTCTTTACATTTCCATAACACACACTGTGTTGGTCACTGAAGAAGTCCTCTGATAAAGCCAGTTTGAATCTGTTAGACTATTATTCTGCATTTTTATTCAAATTAAATCTGTTTTTTTGAAATGAGCTCATCATTGTGGCCGTGTGGGGCTAGTTTCACTGCAGAGCTGCAGAAACATTTCACATCACAGCAAAAACTTCTGTCGTCTGCAGCAAATCTGTAACTGTGACCATCTCAAACGTTACCAGCAGAGGGCAGAGTTTCAGTCCACATATCAAACCAATCATGGTGCGAGACACTGCAGCTGGAGTTAATCAGAAAAGCTGCTTCATCAAGTGTTAGGGAGAAAGGTTAGAAAGAGTCGCGCTGCAGCTGTTATGAAAGTAAACAGGCCATGCTGGCAGACCGCTGGCACTGGGAGGAAGCGAGAGCAAATACAGAGACAGTCTGAGTCAGGCAGAGGCTGGCAAATTAATCTGAAAGAAAAAGGGCAGCACTTTGTAACCTTTGCATTTATACGGGATACAAATTAATAACAGGATAGATGTTCAAAGGAAAGAAGCACTTTTCGTCCTGCCTGGAAACTTATTGCCATAAAATATTCAAAGCTACTAGCAAATAATATTATATCATCTGTATGTGTAAGGCGCCTTGAGGCATTTGTTGGCATTTGGTGCCATAAATAGACTTTAAGTGTTAACCTCCACACATCCAGAAGCTTCTACAATCATTAGTCCTGTCTTACCCAAGGAACTGGGCTCCAGAGGGTCCCACCTCGATGAGCCTGCTGGCCAGACCCTCCCCCTCAACCATCGGGGGCATGGTGGCCAGACGGTGCCTCTTCACCAGTCGGCACGTCACTCTCGTCGGGGCGCTGCACTTCCTCGGCGGGATGATGATGCGGAGGCCGTTGTGTCGACAGCCGCGCATGGCTCCGCCCCTGGCGTCTACCATGAAGCTGACCAGGAAGCTGAGAGGAAGCAGGAGATACATGCACGAATGAGACGCCAATATTATCCAGTTCAGTCTAATTCAGCTCCATTAAGTGGTGAGAAAGCAGACAGCAAAGCTTTGTTTGGTTTGAACAGTTTGTAAGATGCACACTTACACGAAGGACCACAGCTGTTTACTTGCTCGAGTTTTTGAACACAAGCAACAGTTAAGTCGTTAACTACGTATTTGAAGGCCCCGTTAAGACTCAAGAAAGCACGAGATATGAGGACTAAGGAAGATCCTGTCGGCGTGTTGGCCTAGGACACTTTTGTTCATCAAACTTCTCTAAAGAAGCAAACACACTTTCTTCATGAACTATATTTATTTATGGTTTTTTCTAAGTGAGCTTATTTGTCTTGGACCGTGTAGCAACAACAGCACAACTATAGCATAGTCTTAACTTTAGTGAACTGATTCAGCGAGGTCAGTAATAGGAAACTTAAGCTAGCTCACATCACGTAGCATTAGCCAATCTATGCTCGTGGAAACAGCAGACCAGAACAATGCGTTTTCTTTGCTATGTTTAATCTTCAAATAGAGATGTTACAAAAAAGGATAGCTGCACTTTAACATAGACTACTTATTACCACGAACAACTCTATGATTGTAGCATGGTAGCTAACGTTCGCTCAACCTTCGGTTTTCTGTTTTCTCAACACTGAATGGACGAGGGCTGCTCTGCATTCAGGTTTGACCTTCGCTCTCCATGCACAGTCACAAGTATGCGTATGGATCACACATCCCAGCGGGGTAAAGACCGACTGTGATGAAATGACGATATGACACTAAAGACGGTTCTTGGCTCAGCTTCAGCCAAACAAACAACCAGGTTAGAAAACCCAACGACAGACTTGAAACAGCTGTTAAATTAATGTTAGAAGACGAGATTAGAGTAAACTGTAAGTTTATTCTAATAGTCTCCACACCACGTGGCATGTTAGTAGAAATGCACAGTTCACGAGACACTGAATGAAGTCGACAAACATGTCCTCAACCTTCAACCTTATCTAAACTTTCCTGAACTTGCAGTGTCATGATGCCAAGTTTGTAAAATTATTCAGAGAGTTTATGTTTAATTTACGTTCAGGCTGAGAATACAGGAATATACACGAGATGTTGTCTGTCGAGGACGGTGCAACACATACACCTCTCCATAGGGAGAGCACACAGTGAGCGGAGAAGGACGGTGATGAAGGGGAATGAGGTGCAACCAAGGTGCAGAAGGTCACCTGCTGTGGTCTCCATGATCATGGCACGGAGAGGAGTGGCTAAAACAACAACCACAACAGACAGAGAGGAATCACAAGTCAGGCAGAAGAAATCAGAGAGGGAGAAATCCCAGCAAGTTTTAAAAAACCAGCAGAAGGAAAAGAACAGGACTCAGCAGGATTTCCATCTACGAAGATCCACAGAAAACAGTTTATTCACAGAACTCTGTAAATGCTGTTTACGACTTTTCTCAGTGCTGCTGTGCTTACCCTGAATGGACAGGGCTGGAGGACAAAGCCACGTTGTCCAGGTTCTCTGTGCCCCAGCTCAACCGGTACGAATCCCTCTCAGTCTCCCTGGCAAGGGATGAAACCTGGAACGAAACAAACTTCTTATCAGAGACCAGTCATCTAGGGCATTGAGAAGATCATGGGATATACTTGCTCCTGAATTTGACAGAAATATAATCCCCATACAAAACAGCAGAACCGTGGGTGGAGGAGTGGGTCGGGTGGGGTTGCAGCCCTTCTAAGGCTGAATCCTGAGAGCTCAGATGTGTTAAGTCTGACAAACAGAAATCAGGCTCCCTCAGCCCTTCTTTCATTGATCCATCCTCGTCTTTACCGTACTCACATACAAACAGTTTAGATTCACCAGTGAACCCAACCCCACTAACTGCATGTCTTTGGAGTGTGGGAGGAAGCCAGAGTACCCGAGAGAACCCAGGAAGACACAAGGGGAACATGCAAACTCCACACAGAAAGGGTCAGATGGTTGCTGCAAGGCAACACCGCCTCCAGGCTGGATCAATGGACTGGTGCTTACACAGAACTCTGCTCTAACTGGGAACTCAAAGTGCTTTTTTAGTCTTATTCACCCAGTCACACACACATTCATCCTCACACAACATCTTACTCACAGATTGATGTGCAGACTAAAGAAGCTGAGAATCAAAGCACTTCAGAGTGGTTAACAGTACAGTCCACAGCCACAGCCTGAGCATCACTCGAGTGTCATAATTCCCAACCTTTAGGTTAACATCGTCCCACGGCATCGTTTTAAAAATCCACAGAATAATTTACTACACTTTTTACACGTATACCACCTGCTAACCACATCAAGGACGCTTGGGTTAAGGACTTGGAAGTAGACATATCGGACGCTTTGTGGGCCAATGGGTTGAAGAAGATTAAAGAACGCTCTGTTAATGCCAGACTACAACTTATACAGTTCAAGGTCCTTCATCGTCTGCATTTTTCTGAAACAAAGCTATGCAGCATTTTTCGTCTTTGTGTGACAGATGCAAAGCAATGGAGGGAACCCTTGGTCACCTTTTCTGGTCTTGCCCTACACTCGGGAGTTTCTGGGCAGAGATATTTAATATATATTTATGACTTAAAATTAGAGCCGGATGGTGTACTTGCAGTGCTAGGCTCCCTAACCTCATCGGCACTCAGACGTCCTCTTCTGAAAGCCTTAATGTTTGGCATGATTGTAGCTAGAAGATTTCTTCTTAGAGCCTGGAAATCACCATCTCCTCCATTGTTCAGGGTTTGGCTACGTGAGATGATTGCTTGTTTGTATATTGAAGAGGTTGGTTATCGTTTGGCTGACACCCATTTTAAGTTTGTCGAAATCTGGGGCCCTTTTCTCGATCATATTAATGGGAACTTAACGTAAACTTTAACCCATTTGACTGCACTTTGTGTTTGTGTGAAACCCTGATTCTTTCCTGGACATGTTTCCCACATCTTCTGGACTTGGTGAACTCTCTGTTGCCCTGTCTAAACTCACACAGAAGATCATCTTTGGACACTGGTGTTTCTTTTGAACTTTTGATTTGTACTGGCTAACTGGTGTATTTTTTTATTTTTATTTTTTTCCTTTTCTTTCCTGTTTTCCTGTTTGTGTTTTTTGTTGTTGTGTGTTTGTGTTTGGTTTGACGTTATGTAACTTTGAACTTAAAATCTTATAAATAAACATTAAAAAATGCACAGAATTAGTGATCTGTGTGATGATGCGGCGTACCTGGTGACTGGTGAGCATCTCCTCCATCATGCCTTCATGTTTAGAAGAGTAGTAGCTGTGGTGAGTGGGCGTGAAGGACCTGTCTGAACTGAAGCACACAGGAAAAACACAAGCATGAAACCTGTGAAGCTCATGATGTCAACCCAGCACGGCAGGACATTCATCATCTTTAAAGTTCTGTTCTGGTCGGGATCAATGTCCAGGAATTAGGTGGTGAACAGCATGTTCAAATGCTAAAACTGTACGTAAAGTGTTGGTTTAACAGCAGCGCTGCTGGACACACAAACGCAGCAGCCAAAGCATCTGATCTGTTTATTGCATACGGCTGGAAGGCCGAGCCAAGCTCAGGGAGCACAAACACCATGTGTGCATGTCAACACGTTCCTAACTTTCCAAGATTCCTGTGGTCGCTACGGACATGAGATTCTGGTTTACCAGTGTAGTCACCAGTGCTCTCCCAGCTTTATAAAGCACCAACGGGAATATAAAGCTCTTCATCTGCTTAAAGCGACCTGGGTTTGAGCTGTGGATCCAAAGCTGCAGCAGAGTTACTCAGAAACAGGGTTCCTTAAACGCAGGACTCGGGGAACACAGGACCATGGAAAATCAGGCATATAAGTCAGGGTACAACCAGAGACCTAAGTCAGCAGATATGCTCCTGACTTAGGTCTCTGGTTGTAATCTGTTCTTTAAAAAACTGCTGAAGGTCAGGTTGTATCTGAACATGACGGTAACACGAATCCTCTGAATTCTGGGACAAATGTTCTGTTATATTCCTCAGTGTCAGAGGACATTTTCATTCCTAAGAGCACACTATTAGCTGCAGCTGAAGTAAACAGAACCATATCTACTCATTTCAAGTCTATTTAAATAGATGTGCTTCAAAGTGAATGCAGAAAAGATGGCGCCTGTGTGTGCAGCTTGCCGTCAGCTGTTCTCGGTGTTGTTTCTACTAGCATCCGTTTTCTTTGGTCTATGACATTCGAATTGTTATTAAAATTCCAAACCACTGTTGAGGAGCAGTATCAAAGGCCCCCTGGATGTGTGGATTTCCGTGTCCCACCTGTGGTAGAAACCGTACCATTGTCTCTCCGCCGTTATCCACCTAGCCTTCCCCTCAGGAAGAAGTGCCACAGGAGGCGAGGGAGACGGGCTGGAATACTGGTCAAACTCAAAAACTGTGTGGCGATATGCCCGGCTACATTCCCAATGACTACTCAAGAACCTCTCCCTGGACAACAAGCGATTTGTTTGCTGGCATTCCCTTGCATCGGCTCCTCGTTGGATCATACCGGTGACTCCACATCCTAATATCCAGAGCCTACAGCACAGGTGTCCAACTCCAGGCCTCGAGAGCTGGTTTCCTGCAGGTTTTAGATGTGTCCTTGATCCAACACAGCTGATTTAAATGCCTAAATGACCTCCTCAACATGTCTTGAAGTTCTCCTGAGGCCTGATGATTTAATCATTTGATTCAGGTGAGATCTAAAACCTGCAGGACACTGGCCCTCGAGACCTGGAGTTCCACCCCCTTGCCCACGGCATCCGGCCCCACGTTTTTGCAGAGGTGGAGTGGATTATGCCGATGATCTCAGCCGGCAGGGAACCCTGTGCAAGCTAAACTGGCCCTGGTTAACGCTAGGTCGCTAGCCAATAAAACCATTATTTTAAATGACTTTTTCACCACTCGTAACTTGGATTTTCTCCTGGTGACCGAAACTTGGCTGAACTTGGTGAGTTGAGCCCGCGCCCTGAACTTGTCCCCCCAGACTGCAACTGCCTCAATTCGCCCCGAACGACTGGTTGAGGCGGAGGATTAGCTGCTGTTTATAAAAACTGTTTTAACTGTCGGCAATTAACAGCTGACGCTTTTGGCAGCTTTGAACTGCAGCTATTTGAATTACACCGGCCCACACCAGTGCTATGTGTGCTGGTGTACAGACCTAAATATAATAAGAACTTTATACAAGACTTTTCTGAATTCTGGTCAGGAATTTTACCAAAGTACGACAGTGTTTTAATTGTAGGGGATTTTAATATTCATGTTTGCTGCGCAAATACTCCGCTGACTGCTGATTTTTAAAATCTCACAGACTCTTTTAATCTTGTTCAGTCAGTCAAAGGCCCAACTCATGAACGGTCATACCCTGGATCTCGTACTTTCTTACGGGCTGTCACTCCGTATGCCTGTACTGTTTGAGTTTCCTCTTTCAGGTCAGTCTAGTAGATCAGTTATGCCCAAACTCCGATCTCGTATGATCCATTCATATATCGTTTCACCTGCTCCCATAAAAATCTAAATCATGCATTACTTAATGAAGTAGTCAGTAACTTGAAGCCCTCAAAATGTATTTTGGATATTATTCCACCTAGCTTACTGAAAGAAGTTTGTTAATCTGTTTGTATATGTTTGCTTTCTATTGTTAATAGCAGTCTGGGTCCGTCCCCTCTGATTTTAAACATGCTGTGGTGGAACCATCCTTAAAAAGCAGAATCTGGACGCAACAATTTTATCAAATTACAGACCACTCTCTACATTGCCCTTTTTGTCAAAAGTCCTGGAGAAAATCGTCCTTATCTAGCTCCAGGCCTCTTTAGATCAACACAACATTGTTCCAGTCAGGTTTTAAAACGCACCACAGCACTGATCTGCTCTTTCAAAGGGTTTTAATGACCTTTTAAATTTTACTGACTCTGGAGACCCTGCCATCCTAATATTATTAGATCTAAATTCTGCTTTTGATAGAGTCGATCCCAGACTTCATCTCTAGACTGGAACAACACGTTGGAATAAAAGGGATTGTTGTGGAATGGTTTAAATCCTTCTTATATAATCGAACCTTCTCTGTTAATCTCAGAGACTCATTATCCCCAAAGACCGTGCTTTCCTGTGGGGTCCTCCAGGGCTCAATCGACATGCTTCCAATGGGCTCAATTTAAAATAAATATGACCTCTCGTTCCATTGCTACACAGATGACTCAGATTTATCTTGCCCTGAAATGAAAATCTGTGAAACAGATAAATAAGGTAATCAAGACGGGCTTCTTTCATCTCCGCCTCCTTGCAAAAGCCTTTTCTCTGCTTCAGAGATTTTGAGAAAGCGATCCCTGCCTGCGATTCCCTTCCCAAGTCCCAAGGTCGAGGTTGAAACACAGAGACCGGGCATTTGCCGTGACCGCTCCTAAGTTATGGAGCTCATTGCTCCTGCATGTCAGGACCTCTCCAACACTGGAGAGTCAAACCCGTCCAAACACCACTTTTACTCTCTGGCTTTAAAGTCAAGATGAGTCTGTTTCTATTGTTCTTTCCATGCTTCTATTTTCTCTTCATCTATAGTCTGTTTTATTTGCTATGACTGTGTTATTGTGCAGTACTTTGGTCAACAACTGTTGTTTTTGAAAGTGCATTATAAATGAATAAACTTGAAACTTGGTGCTGAAGACTAGAAGTCCAGATGCGTGGATGGAGTCAGCACATACCTTTGCATTCGATTATGTAGATATGAAAAGGCAGACGGTGAAGTGTGAAGAGGAGAGGTTGCAAACACACACAAAACATACAGGCAGTTAGCTGTTTGTGCATACACTGAATGGGGCGGAGCCAATGTGAGTAAAAAGGGTGGGAAGGGAAGAAATGCACAAGTAGGTTACATAAAATGTCATAAAAGGGAAAAGAGTGTGTTATTGAAACAGCTGTGTGAGCTGCAGGTTGTGAAGCTGTATAGAGAACATATGGAACAACTGTGCATGAATCATTTCATCCAGGAATATGTTTCACAGCGAGGTTGTCTCTGTCTTTAGCTTTTGCAGAGTTTGATGCACCTGTCCGTTCGTCCTCCCTCCAGGCTGAAGCGCAGGTAGTTCATCCCATCCAGGTACTGTCCTGGCAGGGAGTCATCTCCCAGCTCCCGCAGATCCTCAGGCCTCAGATACTCCCCTCCGTCGCCTGTCATCGTGTCGTCACCTTAAGAAGCAGAGAAATGAAACTATCAATGAAAAACCACAACTATAACCAACCACAGATGAGAAAACGCAGTGACGCACCTTGATGTTGGGATATTGTTAGAAATATTTTGGACACAAGTCAACAAATCTGTGATTGTGCTTGTTTTGGTTTTGATGTTCACAGGTGGAAACATCACAGCCAGTTACTTTACAAACAGGACATTTGAACATCTGGCTGAAAGTGGAAAACAGACATGGATGTGGCTCATGAACAATAAACACAGAGTAAGAAATCTACGTGTTCATCACAGAAACAGCCGCAGGTTCGCTGGTAGCTTTATTTTGGAGGTAGCCGTTTAGTCACAGTCGTAATGCATTAACACGCTTCCCCTTTTCAAGGTAAGGGTTAACAAATGGTAAAAGGTAAACAAAATCGAATCGAAACAAATCGAATGTGTTTAGTGAGGCCAGCGGTTGCTGCGTCTGCCTGTACAGGAAATCTCAACGCGTCGTCAGCTTTGTGTCTCTAGTTAAGAAAACCTTTCACAGTTTAGTGGCTGCACTGACGTGCACTTCACAGCTTCTCGCTACAGCATCTCTATATTCGACTGTATTCTCATGCTTCGATTGAGGACTGTGCAAAGCCACTGTAAGGCTTATGTTAACTGCATAACAGTGATTCAGCACTATTACTATTCCACTACTGCACAGCAGGGCTCAGCGTCGCTGTTGGCTGCAGGACGCCTGCCTCAAAATGTTCAGCATGACTGCATGCAGGCGATTAGTGGAGTCAACCCTCTGACTGTGTTCATGTATTATAACAGACATACACATGGATTGGCACTTATAAGTATATTTATACTGAGCATATTTCACCCATGTGCACATTCACAAAGCACTTTATTTTTACGTTTCGCTGTTTCTGAGCTGCCAGGCTCACTGAAATGCTGAAGCCTCGGCAGCAATCTGGGGTCCAGCGGGTTCAGCGAGGACACGACAACAGCTGGAGTAGCCGGGAATCGAACCGCTGATGTTCCCGTTAGTAATGAGCTACAGCTGTGCAGCGAAAAGCAAAAGCACACCAAAACATAACTCAAAATACTGGGTCAAGCTGAGCCAGAACGGTGACACAAGCAGGCACAGCAGCAGGAGACTGAATTAAAGAACAGTTAAAGCCTTGAATGTGACTCAGCTGTACTGAAGCTGATCCTGCTCTCATGTGTACACTGTGTTCGTAGCTACAGCTGAATGGAAACATTGCTGTGTCCCTCATGTTTGCAACTGAACATGATACAAGAATGTTCCCTTGTTTTATATACTGGTCCATGACAATATGACATCATTTAAAACAGCATCATAGGCCTGACGGTTGGAGTCGAGGAACCCAAAGCTTAGTGGAGACCTCGGAAGTATCTAAGCTTAGCATAAAGACGTTAGCGCGATTTCCTCCATGCACTGATGTGCCATAACATTAGAACTTCCTAACATTGTGCTGGTGCTCCTGTTGCATCCAGCCATGGACTCTCTGTGCTGTTGTATCTGGGAACAAGATGTTAGCAGCAGATCCACACCTCAAACTCGCTGCTGAACTGAGGTCAGGGGGCACCCTGACTGCTCTGTGCACCCCTGTACACGACAAACTGATGCACTGTGTATTCTGACATAACCAGCAGCAACCTTCTTAGCAGCCTGAGCTGCAGTATCATGCACCAGTGAGCCGTCCATGACCCTGCTGGTTCACCACTGTCACTTCCACGGACCAGTTTTGATGGATACTGATCACTACAGCCCGGGAACACCCCAAACAAATGGCAGTTTGGAGATGCTCTGTCCATTCCTGCTCGTAACTCATCGCCTCTGAGGACGAGACGTTCACATGCTCCCTGGTAAATCTCACCCGCTAACAGGTGCCGTGAAGAAGAAATTATTCATTCATGATGTTATAAAGTACATAATTAGTTGAAGTCTGTAGCCAACACACAGTGAACACTCGTTACTCTCTCAGTAACATGAACGACTTGATTGGACCTCTGGAAGAGTTAGTACAGTCCAGGCTTATTCACCATGCCTTCACTCCTACAGCAAACCTGCACACACACCATCATGCTGACTACCTTCCTCATCCATGGAGTCGTCTGACATGACATCATCATCAGTGGTTTCCCACGCTGTAGGTAAACAGCACAGTCACAGGCTGATTGGTAAAAATCATTTGAAGCCACAAAGAGGGACGAACAGAAAGGTCCAACGTTCTCGTCTGATCTCAGTATCATCACTTTATCTGCTACATGTTACAACCAGTGTACAGTGGCTACAGAGGCCAACAAAGAAGAAAATGTGTGCAGGCTATAACGATTAAATGGATTAACTGATGGAGGTTTTCCAACTTAAATGTATGATAAATGAACTCATGGCTGCAGGACCAGAGGCTCTCTTCATTGGGGAGTGGGCTGCAGGCTCACGCTGTAGCTGCAACTTACCCTCTTCATCTGACACATCGAGTACTTCAGTCATGGTCTCTGGCACATTCAGCTTGTGTTTCTCCGTCACCGTCTGCCAGATCAAAGCAAACAGACCCCGTTAAAAACATGACAGTAAGTTTATTAGGCAAAGCCAGATAGTACAGTTTGATGCAGAGCAGTTAGCTTTGTTGTCTTAATTCAACCGTGTGGTCATTTTGAGAAAACAGATTTGTACTGATGTAATGGCACGCATCCTTTTTACTGTGTGCTCTCACATATGTGGCATCTCAGCCAGTGTTGTATTATTACGCCAAAGTGATGCGTTATAGCGGACAGATAAAGAAATGCATTGTTTTTATGAAGACTACAAAGTTATGTGAATTTCTAAATATGTACAATAAATATATGTACAATATATGTAAATATATATTATACACATCCAGAAATGCATATACTATTATATATTGTACATATATTTATTAGTTTCAGATGTAGCCATTCTTGTATTTTGCTTGTTTACATTATTGTATTTTGCACAACTCTGTTGCTTGTGAAGCTCGCACACAAGAATTTCACTCACATGTGCTGTACCAATGTACCTGCACATGTGATGTGACAATAAAAGTGATTTGATTTGATTTAAATGTAAAAGATGTAGGGAGGTGTGTGTCGTGGGTAGCTTTATCCGGTTGTTCAGTCTGACGTCACTAGCCGTGTCTGGGCCTAAACTCCGCTGCAGGTCCATATATCAAACGATCACTATGGCATTACTGAGAGTTGAAAAACTGTCTAAAGTCTTTCATCTTTAATAAAATGATCAGCGTTCTGCTCTACCAGGTGTAACAATTGAGTTTAACATCCAGGCATCCATGAAAACGGAATTTATGACATTTAACGGAGTTAGAAGTTAGCAGGGAGTTAGCTCGCTAGCTTCTATCTAAATACAATATAGCATGTCCTGACTGCGGGGTTTTGGAAACAAATTCAAACGTACAGCTCTGTTATCACTTCCAGCATAAATGAAGACAGAAAACTAAACAGCAGTGACGTTTGTAGGGTTACTGAAGTTGGGCTAGCTGGTATATAATGATGTGCTACGTGACCGCTAGCGACACAGCTATGTTAGCATAATATAAACAAGCTAACTTTTTTTCCACTGATAAAAGTTAACGTGAGTGTTCTCGGTGGTCAGGAACAAATGTAATCGCATGGCAGGATGCTGTAAAAGGACCAAACTTCAGCCAGGAGAACAACTGAGATAATCCATCCACAATACGAGGTTAGTCATTCATATACTGCTGCATGGGCTGGGCTGTAGTTACATCCTAAGGTTTTAAAAACTGAGCTTAAATAAATGATTAGCGGTAATAAAAGCCGAGGGAGGTCAACAGTGATCACTGACTGTTTTAGGAGCTTTTTGAGATTAAATAGAAGAAAATACAAAACATTAAACATGTTAACAACACAAAAGCCATATTAAACGCAGACTACTTTAGGCCCGGAAGTAGGATTCGTCACGTCATCACTTAACGACCGGATAGGCTCATAAAGGACAGAAGGGTCCTGACCCTGCAGGTCTGTGGAGGTTTCAGGTTTTCTGCATGAATTTCACTCTGGCTGCTCAGTTTTCCTCCAGCAGGTCAAAGCCAAACCTGAGAGGTTTATCTCTCTGCCACCTGTCCAAGGTGTATCTGGCCTATCGCAGCTCGGACAGGCTCTAAGAAGTGTGCAGGTGTGTGTGACGTACCGTGGTGGTGGTGATTATCTCTTCAGTCACAACCCTCAGTGTGTCCACCACAGAAATATAACCCAGCCTGCGAGCAATCCCCAGAGCTGTGTTGCCATTCTGCACAGGAAAGCAAACCATTATACGTGTGTGTGCGTGTGTGCGCGTGCGTGTTAGTGTGTGTGTGCTTGCGTACCACAGTGGTAGCGTTGGGTTTGGCACCGTACTGCAGCAGCACATTAATGATGTGTGTGTTTCCTTGCTGCGCTGCCTGATGCAGGGGAGTGTATCCGTTCTGAAAGCACAGCAGAGGTGAGTCCTGTTTGTTCAGCTCTCATAAAAACACTACAGCTGCTTTTCAGTACCTTAGTCTTGGCATTGACACTTGCGCCATTCTGAAGGAGGAAGTTGACCATTTTTGCGTTTCCATAGTGACATGCTACAATCAGCGGTGTGTAGCCCAACTGTGAAGCAAAAACATATCAGTTACATTTCTTTAAGTCATGAATAACAACACCAGAAGCTGTTACTGTTATTAAAGGGAATAAAACCCTTTTTCAGACCTTGGTCTGCTGGTCCAGGTTGGCACCGTTTCTGGCCAAAATCTCAGCAACGGCCACTTTGTCCTCCTGAGCTGCCAAATGAAGGGCAGTCAGGCCGCTCTGCAGGAGCAACACACAGACACGCATTAACGCTGTTAGCTTACAATGCGTGATAGTGCCCTCTACCAAACTATCTGCTTTAGCCATTACTCTGCAGGATACAGAAGCAGAGGACAGGAACTGTGCACAGTATTATTCATATTTATAAAATTCCATTTATTGCATGAACCTTTTCTTTTTTACTCTTGACATTTCTAATTGTGGACACATTTTAACAGCAGCAGCTCTAGACAGGGCAAAGATGCATCACATGCTCTGGGTGAGTTTCCACAGTACCTTGGTGGGAACGTTGATTTGAGCTCCTTTGGTTATTAGCAGAGCGGCCATGTCCGCATGACCCTCCTGGGAGGCCAGATGGAGTGGAGTGACCCCCTGCTTGGTCAGGATGTTAGTCTCTGCTCCGTAACGCAGCAGCACTGTGGCGATCTCCATCTGGTTCTTTTTAGCCGCAATATGCAGAGGAGTGTAGCCGTTCTGATTGGTGCAGGACACACGCGAGAGTTGCTGGTCAGCGAATGTTGAATATCATTTTTGCTTTTAATACGACTGTTTATCAGAGAGTTTGGCAGTGAATGTATGCTGATGCTGTCACTCACTCCTCACATATGAGTCAGTCACACACGCTTTCATTAGTGTGAATGCACAGGCTGTGCTCTATTGTGGCTCAATAACACACAGACTATCCTGCTGCTTCAAATGTAATGGATTCATCAGCAGCTGAAGCAGCAAACACTCTTCCTCCTCCTGAGGGAATTTCAGATATCATTGAGGCTTCAGAGACTTTTTTGAAAGCAGTCTTTAAAAAACAGGACAGAGCTGTCGGCTGTGACGTCCCTCTGGCTCTAGCTTGTAACTAGCTGGCTAAGAACAATCCTATTATATACTACATCTGTGCTCTGTTGAATCACCTTTGCCATTGTGTGTGGTGACGCTCCTTTGTCCAACAGCAGGAGCGCCACATTCTGGTTATCATAATGTGCTGCAACGTGGAGCGAGGTGAGGCCATTCTGTAAGGTATGGAAGGATTAGACAGAAGCTTTAGAAGGTGAGATGAGTTAAAGTAATATTAGACAGCATCACCTGCTAGGCTCTTATTATGAACACAAAAATGTGCATGAAGGAGCAAAAACAAGATCCTTGATGTGAACAGGCACCTGTTAGCTTTTTGAGTCAGGGTTGGTCTAAATGAAGGGACAGCTGATGTTATTTTTTAAACCGTACCAGCATTCCTGCAGTAAACTTTTAGTTAACAGGAAATTCAATAAAATAATCACATCTCATTGTTTTACAATACATGCTATGAATTTTAAGGATAGCAAGTTTCTGTTTGGATCCATACCTTCCCAGCAGAGTCAGGAGGGGCGCGACGCTGTAGCAGAAGTTTGGCTACATCCAGGCTTCCATACTTTGCGGCCACATGCAGCGGAGTAAAACCTTTCTGTATTAGGAGACAACCCAAAAAGTGACACTAAGAACTCTGTTATAAGACACCAAGTGCAGGAACTCAGTATTCAGAAATCACAGGTTAGGCTTTAATTACAAACTTTGCACAGAAAGTAAGGACATTTGTGTTTGGTGGAGGATTTCTTTGTTGCTACAGTGTTAGCAACACATCTTACTTTTATTTTCCCCTAAAATTGTGCCACATTCATAAACAGAGTGCATTTGTGGGTTGAGCAGCAGAGTTGAGCTTGTGTGTTGAGCAGCAGAGTTGAGTTTGTGGGTTGAGCAGCAGAGTTGAGTTTGTATGTTGAGCAGCAGAGTTGAGTTTGTGGGTTGAGCAGCAGAGTTGAGTTTGTATGTTGAGCAACAGAGTTGAGCTTGTGTGTTGAGCAGCAGAGTTGAGTTTGTGGGTTGAGCAGCAGAGTTGAGTTTGTGTGTTGAGCAGCAGAGTTGAGTTTGTGGGTTGCACGAATTAAAACTTTGCCAGATGTAAAGTATTACTGTAAATATTGTTAGAACATATTAAGTATTGTGAGTCAACAGAAATGTTGTTACTTTTTGTATTACTTCTTTTTTATTTACTTTGTCATACTACTACTACTATTGTCGTAGTATTATTTAAGCTTTGTATTTAAGTACAGTATAAAATATAAGAGGAAAAGACCTTCAGTCACTGCCAAAATCTGTGTAATGCTATAAACAGTTCATAGTAGCAAGCTGATGCAACTGCAGGTAACCCACAGGGAACGTCCATTTTATTTAAAGGCCAGCAGAGGGGGCACTTTAGCTGTAAGGACACACTGAACCAGCTTGTTTATGATGCAGGCCTGTTCATGGAGAGAACAGCCTTTTGTCTCTTAAAGGCAGAAATCAATTTAATAGGTACACAAAAAATTAAACTTGTTTACTTACATTGCATTGTGGAAAATACTGATATTATGAGAAAATATGGACAATTATGCACAATTTGATGTTTATAAGGATGGTGCTACAATTGCGTTACACTGTAACAGCGACAGCCACACCCCTCACTCCCCAGAGAGAAGTCTAGGAGAGAGCAAAAGCACTGAGGCCTGACAAATGCAGCCTCACACAATGCTTTGTCTCTTCTCATTATATGAATAGATTAAGAGGTTGGTCTGTCTGGGATGGGGTACAAAGTAAAGATCCTGACTGCACAGCCTGTTAAACAGTCATGGCGATAAATCACTCAGCTGTGTTCAGACTTCATGAACAATTCAGAGGGACGTAGCAGCTTTACTGCCTCATCAATCATTGATCAGAAGAATCCCACAGACAGACCAGGAGATGCAGTATTATAGTAACCTCTCAATCCCAGCCTTCAGCAGAGGACTACATGGGGTCAAGACATAAGAGTCAACGTTCAGAAATGTAGGCCGGTCATGTTTACAGGCTACACACTGATGTGTGCATATACCTGCTGATTTTTAAAGGCCAGATGCAATGGTTTGAAACATTAATGTCAGCTAACATATGTGGTGTGGAGACAAAGACAATTATGAACCAAGGAGGCAAATTGTCACGACTTGGTGCCAAACTAAATCTCTTTTGATTCAGCTCTTTATTATAAGTGCAATAAAAAAGCTGTATTTGTTTGTCTGATTGTTTCATTGTTTTGTTCTTGGTGATTTTTCAGTGATATATTCGTCTACATTATTTAATTTATTCTTTTTGTTGACTTTTGAGAGCCTGAGTTGATATTTTAAAACGCTGCATTTGATTTATTACATTATATAGCTGTCACATACACAGCTCCTTCCAGTAGACTCACGACACACACAGCTCATGGTTCTCTGTATTTCTATATATGAATGAGTGATTCACAGTGAATGCATCGACAGGCGTCACACAAACAGCTTACAGAAGGAACAAAGTGAACTTCAGGTGATTTCTGCGGGACAGGAACCCTGAATGTTTTCATGTTTTCACTTTTTGCAGCTGCCATGTTGAAAATAAGAAATTAGAGCTTTACATGAACTGAAACATGTTCGTTCCACTGCTCCGTGCACTAAATCACACCATGGAGATCCAAAGTCTTCTCCCACACTCACCTTGGTGGCTAGTGAGTGTGAAGCCCCTGCCTCTAGCAGCACCGAGGCAGTCTCCACCTGCCCCTCCCTGGCAGAAATGTGGAGGGGGGTGTAGCCATTGGTTGTGGCAGCATCAGGATGGGCCATGTGCTGCAACAGCAGCTGCACAATCTCAGTTTTCCCCAGGCGGGATGCAATGTGAAGGGGCGTCTGCTCCTCCTAAACAGGACACGCAGCAGAAAAAGAGCTCAGTGACCATCAGGATGAAAACGTTAAAGATTCTTTATCACGTGTGCAAATGTGATTGCAGCAGTCTTACACGTGCCCGAGCATCTACCATTGCTCCATTCCTCAGGAGACATCTGACAACCTCCACCTGACCTGCCCGGGCTGCCATGTGTAAGGCCGTTTCTCCACGCTGTGCAAACGACAACATATGGCTCAGACGAGTCAGCGCACATTCTGAAAACCTCAACCTGTGTTCATTTCAGTTAACAAATGGCTGCAGTTTGTGTCACTTTTGCTGCCCCGTTTCACATCACTCACAATATTGCTGACGTCAGCCGAGGCCCCGTTCTGCAGCAGGAGCAGGACGATGTTCAGGTGACCCATGAAGGCTGCTACGTGGATGGGCGTCAGACCCGACTGAACACGGGAGAAAGCACAACAGAGACGATCGGACAGAAGGAAACGCACATCAGATGAATCAGTGAATAATATAGTGCGCTACGTCTGTGGGGTATGCAGCCATTAAATGCTATAACTGCAGGTGGTCATAATGGACAATAGAAGAAGAAGAAAACTGATACAATAAAACCTTTAATTCTGGTCTTTATGACCAATTTACCATCAATATTTTTCAATTAGAAATCAGCTTATTGCTCTATTTGTAATTATGTCCAGCAGTACTGTCTATAGCAGGGGACCTGCAGGTTTTAGATCTCACCGTGGGTCAACAGTCCTGAATCACATGATGAGGTCATTACCAGCCTCTGGAGAACTTCAACACATGTTGAGGAGGTCATGTAAATCAGCTGGACACGTCTAAACCTGCAGCTCCCCCACCCTGGTCTATAGAGATGTTAATATGTGACATTGTTCAATAACAATAAGCCTCCTTTAATTCTATTGACTAGACCAAGAGGATCTACTCGGCCTGATGTTATTACATTACCATGAGTACTACTGAGTGGGTTTATCACTTTATGACTCCAGTTATACCCGTGGGATAGAAGAATGATGTAACTTTAGATTGCTACCTTTGCTACATGTAACCAAATTCAAGTATCATGTATGCAATGTATCAGATTTGTTTCAATAGTAATATTTTAAACGTATAGAGAGCAATAATAAAGGCATTTCTGCAGTCGGATTACTCCGATGTGTACCTCTGTAATGGCCTGGATGGAAGCTCCATATTTAACCAGCAGCTCCATCACCTTCACGCGGTTCTTCTTACAGGCGATGTGCAGCGGCGTGAAGCCATTCTGTGGAGCGAACACAGTGAACCTCAGAGGAATTCCAGGTGCATGTAGACAGATTATGATCCTTTTTCCATTCATGGATCCATGTTGTCTTCGTGACCTACCAGTGCCCTGGCGTTAGGGTTGGCCCGTTTGTCCAGCAGCAGTTTGGTGACTCTGTAGTGACCGCAGTGAGCCGCCACATGCAGCGCTGTCAGGTAGTCCAACGTGACGTCATCAACAGGAGCCTTGTGCTGTAGAAGGTGTTTGACGCATTCAATGTGGTCACCTTGTGCTGCCATGTGCAGAGGGGACAGCCCGTTCTGTGGGAGGGGACAGTTGGTTCAGCAGAGGAGAGCTGCAGGTGAAATGCATTAATGGTAATGTTTGCTGAAAGTGTAAATAAACAGCTGCAGCGTTTCTTTTTATCTCTGATTGATACAAAATAAACCCTCAAACTCATCATTTTATATGCAGAAAGTTCCAAAACCCTACAACTCGTGGGCTTGTTTATCCTTTGACCTCTCCTTCCTCCCACCTCACAGAAAAAGCTCCTGCTGGTCACCAGCAGACATCACGAGCCCTTAGCTCCACAGTGACACGTTACACAGGACACAACCATGACTTTAGATGGTGAGTGCGAGACCTTGGTCCTGGCCAGTAAAGGTGCTCCTCTCTCCAGCAGCAGCTCTACAGCCGTGTCGTGTCCGCTCCGAGCAGCACAGTGAAGCGGAGTCAGGCCGTCCTACCAAACCAAGACAGTAAATGTGTATCGACTCTGGATGCTGCAGGACAACGGTGGCTTAACTTTTCATAACAGGACATAACAGAAACAGTCCTGATCAATTCATCCTGATGTTTATTTCAAAAACAAAAACATACCAGATATTAGAACATTCAAACTAAGGATCTATTCATTTTAAATTTTGAGTCATGTATGAACACAGGCTACAAGGATGCAAGAAACACAGACAAAAACAAGTCAAGCAGATGTTTTTCTTTAAGGACACACGGGGTGACTGATGGGCAACAACAACAGTGACAGATTCGTTTCAGTGCTCATCATATATATCATCAAATCATTTAGATAACACAGAGATATCTCTGCATGTGAGGGACGATGTCAGGATCCATTATCCCTGAGCTATTAATGTAATATCATTACATTAATGTACAACAAGTCAAAAACTGAAGTGGACTAACACAGTGGTAACATTTTCTCTGAAAAATGGCATCACATTACTAAAATAAAGTCCTCAGTTCCATCATTTTATTGGTTTGAATATCTGTTCTGGAGTAAATACACAATTTAAAGCATTAAGAATATCATAAAACTTTCATTTGCACTTTACAGAGCAGCAGTTTATTAAATAACAGATCATCAAGTGATGAGTGACGGACCTACAGGTAGAATGAACTAAAAACAACCCCCCATCATATCTGTTGTTAGCAATGCACGCGACCATTAGTTACTACTGTGGATGTAACAGTTGCACCACCGTGGGAGTGGGCGAGTGTGGTTTAAAGATAACTAGCTCTAAAGCTCAGGTTACATTAGATGTGTGCGTTTGAGCTACTCACCCTCGTTTTAGCATCAATCTGAGAGCCACGGTCTAACAACAGGCGAACCATGTTTGTGTTGCCACGCTTAGAGGCCACATGCAGTGGAGTGATCCCATTCTGCAGACAGAGACGCACAAAAACAACAACTCGTTAAACACGTTAGTCCAGAATCCAAATGTTGGTATATGTGTGTGTGAGTAACCACGCTGCTTTGGTGATTAAAACAGGAAATGTGACCGTGTTTTGTGGAAGGCGTCGTTTAAACAGGCGTTTGTTGCCTGACAGTGAGGTTGTTGTGGTACCCAGTGCAGTCGTAGCTTTTATAGGCTCGTGTCAGGATCCAGGACGACTGACTTTGGTTTGTAAGACTACAATAGCAGGAACATTGATTAAAAAGAGCAAAACTCTGTGTTTTGGTCACTTATATATTAGGGGTGCAACGATACTCGTATCGATATTGAACCGTTCGATACAGTGCTTTCGGTTCGGTACGCATATGTATCGAACAATACAAAATTTTTAATTTATTTTATCAACTTTCCTTCTGACGATGCTGTCTGTGTTGAGCGCTCAGTGGATCTGCGCTCGACAGTGCAGCCTAGGCGGAGTAGTCGAACGCAGATTCACTGAGCGCAGGGCAAGCTAGCGAGACAGAAGTTAAGCTCTCCTTGCAACATGGCAAATTGAACCTCCCCCACCCTCATTCAGATCTGGCGTTTGGAATTATTTTGGTTTTCATGTGACGTATGACCCTGAAGGTAAGCGCGTCATGGACTAAAGTAAAACAGTATGTTGGATGTGCCACGCAATGCTCAATTACATGGGTGGGAGCTAGTGTGTTAGCGCAGTTAGCTCGTTAACGTGTTGGCCGTCTAGCCCCATGCACGGGGCGATCCGCGGTAGCTCGTTAACGGAGATTTGCCGTGTTGTGGCGTTAACGTCATTTCAGATTAACGCTGACAGCACTAGTGGGAACACAACGAATATGACTGCACATTTACTCCGACATCATCCTAGTGCAAAGACAAGTGGAAGCAGACAAAAACAACAAGCAGCATGCTACAAACTTTACCCGAGTCATTTAGACAGCCGTTAGCACAGGATTCTCCTTATGGGGACCTGATATGTTTAATATGCTGCTGAGAATATAGCCCAGAAGAAGCGTATAGTATAGCTTTTATTTTGAAAGAGCCATTTCTCTGTAATAAACTCTCTTTTCCAAAGATGAGGGATTCCTCCATCAGATAGATTTATTATTTTATTACTTTGTTGTTTCAGCAACATTAAATTTAAAAACTGTACTTTTGAGTTAAAATATATATTTATAATTTTAATAAATGACAAATTAAAAAGGCATGAACATTTTTTTGTATCGAAAAAATATCAAACCGTGACACCAAAGTATCGAACCGAACCGAGAATGCTGTGTATCGTTGCACCGCTAATATATGTATATATGTGGATACAGAACCAACACAACGCTGAGGTCAGTGAGTCGTGGTCCCCATCACTGACTGAACTCTGTTCTGGTTGTAGACCCACTGACATGTTTTCATCCTGTCCACTAAAGCTTGTCTCCAGCTTACACTCATACAGGTCAGACCCAAATAAGTTATTAGGCTTGTTTCGTACCCTCGCTGTGAAGTCAACTGCTGCCCCTCGGTTCAGCAGGAGCGTGGCCACATTCACGTTCCCATAGTGGGCAGCAATGTGCAGGGGGGTGAATCCACTCTGCAGGACAGAAAGATGCAGACACACACACAGCAGGACAGAGCACACACATTAGCTTCACCGTCACGTCAACTTTGACCTTTAGTCTTCCCAGCATGCAAAAGTTGCATCAAGAGTAAAAGAAGTAAATTAAAATCAAGGACGATGAAAATCTGACTTAAAAATAATCATGTATATTCACTGGTACTAATATGAAAGTCAGAGCATCTACACACAACCCCAAACACACAGCACATCCATGCAAACTGTGCAAAGAGACCAACGAATGCTTTTAACACGAGTGAAATGAAAAAAGATCAAAGAAATCAGCACAGAGCAGACGCAGACTGTCATCCAGACGGACACAGACAACACTGTCAGTAAACCACACAGGTCCCCATCCACACCAAAGTGCACTATGTTAACTGTGGTTAGCAAAAAGGGTTTCAGAGTAGGTTGGAGGAGTTCTTGCCTTACCTTTCCATTCTGTTAGTGTTGGTCCGATTTAATGTGAAAAAGGTGTTTACAGAAGCGTGAAGAATACAGTGACTAACGAGATGGTTCAAAAGTTTACAGTCAGAAGCTTAGCTGCAAATTAAGGAAGCATGGATGCAACATGCTCGTCTGTGCTAACATATTAGCTTTATGCAGTTATGTTATGAGCTTCACAAGCTTCCCATGCCATTGCTGAGCTGCACTGTTTACAGATTAGTTTGCTTCTTTAGAGAAACGCATGCACTCTAAAAGAAATGTTATAGAAGCTGCAAAGTGTGGAAGACCATGGGTGGGATAACACAGTGCATGTTTGCCTTTGTGAGTCATCGTGCGTCCAATAGGAGGAATAACAGTTAAATGGGATTATTGTTTTAAAAGCATCAAAATATATATTTGTTTGTTTGTTTGTTCCTCCTTCTGCAAGCTGCATTTTTAAAGCCCAACGTGACATTTATCATAACATCAGTGTCTGAATCTTTCTCGGGTTTCTGATGTGACACAGTTTGTTCTTGTGATCGTGCTGATACATCGTCCGCCCAGTTTAACATGAAAAGTTACTGATGTTGAATCGTCTGTTTCAACCATCACTCGTATGTCCCAGATGTTAAAGACATGAAAAGATGTCGGCGTTGTTCGTCTTCACTGGCCTTCCATACTTAAGCAGCGATGTATTATAGCATGTCTTACTTCTTGTAGTGTAGTGTGTTATCTTATATGGACGGGCTTTGTAATATTATCAGTTTGTAAACAATACTTTAAGCTGCTGCTCAGAGTGCATTTCTAAACCATGCAACACAAAAAGAGGCAGAATTACAGACTAAGAGACGGTGCACATCACACACATTCATAATCGAAGCTTACAGAAAGTAACCACAGTCATTACAAAACAACAGTTCAGTTTTTATAGTCAGTCTGAATGTATTAGGGCCACACGGGGAAGGAAAACCAAAGGGTGATCCTGAGCTGGTGATCAAAGAAATCAAACAGACTCGGGTGAAAAATCAAACTAAAACCTCAGAGATAAGCAGCAGTGGTTGGCCATTCCTCTCAGCCATGCACGGTGGCCTCTTATTATTAATATCAAATCAACTGAAACACACAGAATGGACCAAATGATATCATGTACACCAGCAAGTGCTGTGGAAGTGAGAGAAATAAAGGCAGTGATAACAAAGGAAATGACAAAAGGATGGGACTGTGTGAGCCTGTGGAGAGTTAAGGAGTGTGTGTATACCTCAGTAGTCCTATTGACCATCATCTGTAGCAGGATGGGGGAGGGAAAGATCAGTTCAGTTAGGCTGCGTCACAGACATTAGCTCAGCTGTGCAGCCTACAGAGGACGTGGCTGGAGCTGCTCAGTCCTGTCAGAACTGACAGCGCTGTCGTTTGTGTCGTGGCTCACTGTAGCGTCAAATAGCTAAATGATCCGTTTCTTCTTTGACTACTTCTTTAATAAAGCACAGATTCTGTGAACCACCTGGAATTAAGACGATGTTTTCATAGTTTAAAGACTTTAATGACTGAGGAAAGGGTTGGGAGACAGGAAAGGCACCGTCCTGCCCCCTGTCGGGTCGCCCAGTCCGACCCCGGACAAAGTTTCGGAAAGCGTTCTGGGTCAGTAAGTCAATCCTCAGCCTGTTGTTGCCTCTGAACTAACAGGTTTGCTTTCAGCTTGTATGTATCTTCATTACTCTCATAAGGCGCTTAGCATTGGGCTAGCTTAGCATTAGCATTTTTGCTAACTTTTCTGACGTGCTTCCTGAAGTAAAGGGAAGTGACTCCCTACTGTTTCCTGTGGTGGTAGCTTAGCATTGGGCTAGCTTAGCATTAGCATTTTTGCTAACTTTTCTGACGTGCTTCCTGAAGTAAAGGGAAGTGACTCCCTACTGTTTCCTGTGGTGGTAGCTTAGCATTGGGCTAGCTTACCATTAGCATTTTTTTACACCTAAGCCCATTACAATGTTATATATATATAAGACATATATAGGGAGTGCAGAATTATTAGGCAAGTTGTATTTTTGAGGAATAATTTTATTATTGAACAACAACCATGTTCTCAATGAACCCAAAAAACTCATTAATATCAAAGCTGAATGTTTTTGGAAGTAGTTTTTAGTTTGTTTTTAGTTTTAGCTATTTTAGGGGGATATCTGTGTGTGCAGGTGACTATTACTGTGCATAATTATTAGGCAACTTAACAAAAAACAAATATATACCCATTTCAATTATTTATTTTTACCAGTGAAACCAATATAACATCTCCACATTCACAAATATACATTTCTGACATTCAAAAACAAAACAAAAACAAATCAGCGACCAATATAGCCACCTTTCTTTGCAAGGACACTCAAAAGCCTGCCATCCATGGATTCTGTCAGTGTTTTGATCTGTTCACCATCAACATTGCGTGCAGCAGCAACCACAGCCTCCCAGACACTGTTCAGAGAGGTGTACTGTTTTCCCTCCTTGTAAATCTCACATTTGATGATGGACCACAGGTTCTCAATGGGGTTCAGATCAGGTGAACAAGGTGGCCATGTCATTAGTTTTTCTTCTTTTATACCCTTTCTTGCCAGCCACGCTGTGGAGTACTTGGACGCGTGTGATGGAGCATTGTCCTGCATGAAAATCATGTTTTTCTTGAAGGATGCAGACTTCTTCCTGTACCACTGCTTGAAGAAGGTGTCTTCCAGAAACTGGCAGTAGGACTGGGAGTTGAGCTTGACTCCATCCTCAACCCGAAAAGGCCCCACAAGCTCATCTTTTGTACCTGCTAAAGTGTTCACGGCAGCGGTTGGCTGACTACAACCGAAAAGCCCCAAGTCACTTTGTGCCACCAACGTACTCCACCTCCTGCTGGCGTCTGAGTCGGACTGGAGCTCTCTGCCCTTTACCAATCCAGCCACGGGCCCATCCATCTGGCCCATCAAGACTCACTCTCATTTCATCAGTCCATAAAACCTTAGAAAAACCAGTCTTGAGATATTTCTTGGCCCAGTCTTGACGTTTCAGCTTGTGTGTCTTGTTCAGTGGTGGTCGTCTTTCAGCCTTTCTTACCTTGGCCATGTCTCTGAGTATTGCACACCTTGTGCTTTTGGGCACTCCAGTGATGTTGCAGCTCTGAAATATGGCCAAACTGGTGGCAAGTGGCATCTTGGCAGCTGCACGCTTGACTTTTCTCAGTTCATGGGCAGTTATTTTGCGCCTTGGTTTTTCCACACGCTTCTTGCGACCCTGTTGACTATTTTGAATGAAACGCTTGATTGTTCGATGATCACGCTTCAGAAGCTTTGCAATTTTGAGACTGCTGCATCCCTCTGCAAGATATCTCACTATTTTTGACTTTTCTGAGCCTGTCAAGTCCTTCTTTTGACCCATTTTGCCAAAGGAAAGGACGTTGCCTAATAATTATGCACACCTGATATAGGGTGTTGATGTCATTAGACCACACCCCTTCTCATTACAGAGATGCACATCACCTAATATGCTTAATTGGTAGTAGGCTTTCGAGCCTATACAGCTTGGAGTAAGACAACATGCATGAAGAGGATGATGTGGACAAAATACTCATTTGCCTAATACTTCTGCACTCCCTGTAATATTCTATATAAGATCACATTGTTGTATTGCTGCCCAGATCATACAGTTGTGCTGAGATCACAGTAAAAGGCGTTACTGTATAAACATAATGCACCGCTTTCTGTTATTGAGAACACTTCACTTTGTTTTCATAGCATATTTAATAATAACGACATACATGATCATCGTGTTGTGTTTTTCAGTATCCGAGTAACTGTAACTACTCGAGCTACTCTCCTCTTTATGACTCATGTCCAACATGGCTGCATCCCAGCAGCAGAATCACAGTTTAGTAGATGTGTGCGTGGAGCCTAAATAGACTCTATAGTGTTGTTACATAAGAAAATCACTGATGTTTCGCTGATATATGGAAAGATCATTTTCACTCCAGCCACGTCGCTTCAAGCTGCCAGCTGGCATCAGAGGAACAGTCGTAACTATGAACTCGAGATCCAGCCACAACAGTGATTCCCATCAATATTAAATGGACACTTTAACCCTTCCAATCTCTCGCTGATGGTCAGACCACAGCCTTAGAAACAAGCCCCACCGTGTGCATGCAATCTTAGATACGACCACCGTACAACCTGCAGACAGTGGCACACTCCATGCATGGACAGTGCTACGCTTAGACACCGGTGCAGCGAGGAGGAGGGTGACGAGAGGAAGAGTGCGAGAGGCGGTATTTAAACAGAGAGAGGGGAAAAAGGGAGAGAGCCAGTTAGTGACGTGTGAAGCACAGAGACACTGAATGAGACAGAGGACAGAGAGACACACTGATGCAAACACAAACATCTGATGCATATTTATGCAGCTTCGCTGCAAATATCACGACAAAGACGCTGTCTGTCAATGGTGGAGTAGATATCTGTGCTAGAGTGATCAGTGTGATAATGTGCAGATATTGTTTCTCCATGCTTTCCTGACCTTTGAATCTAGGTGAAGACGGCTGTGTTACACGACTCAGAGTCACTGAGGACACAATCTGGTCACTAACGTCTCGGTGGTCAAAAACATTTCCCACCTTCGACCTTGATCTGATCCACTGGTAATATTAACTTTAATAATCACTGTTTAACTTCAGCGTGTTCCTGTTTACACACCAGGCCCTGTACTGGAGGTGAGCACCATCGCACTAACAAGCAGAAACGTTTCACTGTTATGGGAAGAATTATCATTGCTGTTGGGAACAAGAAGCACGCTGTGGGTCATCATCAGGACCCCAGGCAGGTCGGAGCATCACTGCTGTGGGTTCAAGCCTCACTTCAGTTATTCTTTGCCCGTCCATCCCACACAGCACATATCTGCATTATTCCACTTGTCTTGATGAATCTGCCACATTCCCACCTACTCATCTATTTGGGACTATGACAGAAGAGACAGGCCCCTGTGATTATACGGGGAGGATATAATGAGGCGTCTCAGCAGGATAACTGAAGAACAGCTTCAGACCTCGTGTTGGAAAGCTAGAACCACTGTTACACTGTCACCTTCATGGAGCTACGAATAACCACAGATCACCACACTCACTGGACTTCTGCACATGCCAACACTTAACCTAAATACTGCATGGCCGTACCTTCGACTGGACGTCGGCGTTGTGGTCGTTCTGGAGGAGCAGGGCTGCTGATTTGGTGTCGTCTTTACGAGCTGCGATGTGCAAGGCAGGCAGGCGCACCTTGCCTTTGGTATCATTTTCTAATAAGACAGACACAACCTGGTTGTGGCCCTGCTGGAGCGCGATGGCCAAAGGGGTGAAGCCATCCTAGAAGAAGGCAGACGGGCGACTGGTTACATCTCATTTAAAATTAAAGTTTAAAGTACACTGCTCAAGAAAATTAAAGGCATTTAAACTTCAGTCTGTCCAGTTAGGAAGCAGAAGTGATTATGAGTCTGTTTCACCTGCTCCGGTGTAAATGACAAGTCAGTCCTACAAGAGGGAGGGTTGTGCAGGTGGTGACCATTTAGCTAATGTCCTCATCCAGGCACAGCAACACTGACATGGGTGAAGCACGATAACATTTGCTGTCACCAGACTCGCTCGTGTTAGTGTGAACCTGGTCTCATCTTTGAAGACGATGGGACACCAGCAGCCCACCTGCCAGTTCTTGTGTTTTCAGGTAAAATTCACACACAGGGAAGCCAGGTCCAGGTCTGAATCTCTCTCCCAGCAGCTGTCCGAGCGGCTTTTTGAACCCAGTCACGCGCCCCACGGTCCAATCAGCAGCTCACTGCTCTTCATTAGAGGAAGGACCTGCAGAGATTCTTAAAACACAGGAAAGAGACACAGCACAGCAGCTAATACAGATTTGCTACGGCCACGGGCTGTAACAGCAACAGATTCTTTGTTTGCTTTATGAGAATCATAACTCTTAATCAGCACATCGCATCACTGCATCCAGCTAGTTTAAAACT